TCCGCGGTCATTTTTCCTGCTCTGCTGGCCAAGAGTGTCTTCGGGCGTCGGTTACAGCTTAGATCAAGATGCCGCTGAAAGTAGCGCTCTGTATCGTTCCGTCGTGGCCAAGTCGGTAGCGTCCCCGCACGGTATGAATCTAGTCGCTGGTTCGAATCTCGGCCGGGTGATAATTTTCGCGCTCCGCTGGTCATGACTTTACAGTAGTGCGACACCTGATGTGTTGGGCCGGTACGCAAAGAGTCGCTGATTCGAATCTAGTCGACGGTCGACTAAACCCTTTTGCCCCCTGCCAGCCATATGTTTCGGGGTGAGAGCCAGATCGGAGATAAGCTTCACCTCAGCAAAACCCTCATCATTGGCTCAGTTCGTAGAGCGCGCGGCCGGGACGCGGATGGTTGTCGGTTCGCATACTGACCGAGGCTCATTTTTTCTTATGTAGAAGTTTGCGGCGTGGGCACTAAGGGTTCAGACAAAAGACCAGCCGACATGGGGAAGTGGACTTGACCGCCTACTCAGCAGTCCCCCCCCCCCTTCGCCAAAAAAACAACAAGAAAATGTCTGCCCCGACCAGGACTCGACCCCTGGGCTGAGGGTGTATTGTGCACCAAGCCCTGGCACGCTCGCCACTCGGCTGTCAGCTGCTCCTGTGGTCCGAAACGTCAGAACTCGCTACTGCTTGACGGGTCTTGGTCTCCGGTATTGCACGCGGTCAGCTCGGGTCAAGTCCACCTCCTCGACGCGCTGCAGGCCGGGTCGGCTCATGGCCAGAAACACCGAAAATGGCCACTAAAAGAGCCCCTTGGGCGCGCGCGGGTTAGGTTAGGTCCATTTATGTACCTTGTTCTGTGTTTTTGGCCAGAATTCGACCCGGGCTGCAGCGCGTCGAGGAGGTGGACTTGACCCGAGCTGAACGCGTGCAATACCGGGGACCAAAAATCGTAAAGCAGGACCGAGTTCTGACGTTTCCGTCCACAGGAGCAGCTGACAGCCGAGTGGTTAGCGCGCTGGTGAATGGTCCGGAAACCGTCGGCCCAGGGATCGAATCCCAGCCGTAGAGCTTTTTTCTCTTTCTGTTGATCTTGTCTTCGGGATTCAGCGAGAGCCGAGATTCACACGTCGCCGGGAGTGGAGCCACAGAGCGGGAAAAAAGAACCGTGGCTGGGATTCGAACCCTGGGCCGACGGTTTCCGGACCACACACCAGCGCGCTCGCCACTCGGCTGTCAGCTGCTCCTGTGGACGGTAACGTCAGAACTCGGTCCTGCTTTACGAGTCTTGTTCTCCAGTATTGCACGCGTTCAGCTCGGGTCAAGTCCACCTCCTCGACGCGCTGCAGCCCGGGTCGAATTCTGGCCAAAAACACGGAAAAAGGTACATAAATGGACCTAACCTAACCCCCGCGCGCCCAAGGGGCTCTTTTAGTGGCTATTTTCGATGTTTCGGGCCAAGAGCCGACCCGGGCTGCAGCGCGTCGAGGAGGTGGACTTGACCCGAGCTGGACGCGTGCAATACCGGAGACCAAGACTCGTAAAGGAGGAGCGAGTTCTGACGTTTCCGACCACAGGAGCAGCTGACAGCCGAGTGGCGAGCGCGCTGCGGTGAGGTCCGGAAACCGTCGGCCCAGGGTTCGAATCCCAGCCACGGTCCTTTTTTTCCCGCTCTGTGAGTCCGCTCCCGGCGACATGTGCATCTCGGCTCTCGCTGAATCCCAAAGACATGATCAACAGAAAGAGAAAAAAGCTCTACGGCTGGGATTCGATCCCTGAGCCGACGGTTTCCGGACCATACACCAGCGCGCTAACCACTCGGCTGTCAGCTGCTCCTGTGGACGGGAATGTCAGAACTCGGCCCTGCTTTACGAGTTTTGGTCTACGGTATTGCACCTCGTATTGCACGCGTTCAGCTCGGGTCAAGTCCACCTCCTCGACGCGCTGCAGCCCGAGTCGAATTCTGGCCAAAAACACGGAACAAGGTACATAAATGGACCTAACCTAACCC